ATTTTCTGGGTTGCTAACAGGTAAGTAACAATGATAGGTAATGAGCATATATGAACAAAGCCCAGTGTTGTAATCAATAAAAACTTCCTACATAGTTAACCTAATACTTATTTAATGGTATGTGTAACTATTATTGCTTGGGATGACAGTTAGGCACCTCTGTTAAGCTTCTGTTCAGTGAACTAATGCACCTTTAGTGGCTAAAATTCATATATATATGAATTATATAATTCATAAATATATATATTTACTTCATCAAGCCAAGTATTTCTTCAGGCACTCAAAAAAATGTCATTTCCTTTCTGTCCTTCCCAAATGTAGGGATGGTCCATTTTCTCTTTCCATCCAGAAATGGTGGGTTGAGAGCAGAAAATAGTATAAGGAAAGGTCCAGGTTTAGTGATGGACACACAAAGGGTGTCCAGCTATTTTTTATGGTGTTAGCACTGATCTTACCATCTGGTCTCATGTGAGCATTTTCCAAATGTCTAAGGGAAGAGCCACTTTTACTAAGCATCTCCTCTGTGCTTTACATGTATCCACACCTTTATTTCTTATGACAACAACGCCTTGAAGGAACAATTATTCTCTCCATGTTACAGAGGGTACTGAGGTAGGTGTTGTTTCAAGGTCATGAAGCTTGGAGCCAAAGTTTGGCAGACTCCAGTAGCTGTGCACATCATCTCTGGGCTGTGGAGTAAGAAACAAGCTGGGTTACTTTTCCTTAGGTTTTTTATCTCCTCCATATCCTCTCCAGACAGAGGGTCAAGGAGGCTTCTGGAAGCTCAGGGCTCTGTGGATGCTCAACCCTGCTGGGAGATGGGGGCTGTTGATATTCCCAACGACTGGGAATCCATCTGGAAAATTCCCAGTGCAGACTCTGTGGACAGGAATATGTCCCAGAAGAGGGCTCAAATGGGAATAGGCCTGGCTGACTGGAGGAATCAGATGCTGGAATTAGGAAGTATGGGCTCAACGGACACTTCAAGGTCATCTCATTTAGTGGTTTTGAAGCTTTTGACCACAAAGGACTGCTGCTATTGATTTTCCCCAGAGACTCTCTGTTTTAAAATATTTCAGCTGGTTAAAAAAAATTCAAGAAATAATTCCATTTTCTGTTTTCATTAGTCAAAAATATCATAAATGACTAGCAAACAGAGCTTCTGGCCATCAGGAGGCGACCAGTCTTTCCATACAAAGTGGCTATTACTCCAGCAGAGGACATAGAAGTGCTTTTTAGTGAGCCTGCACAGACTTAGGGGAGGTGGGGATGTCAAATGTACAATTTCGTTAGGCTTTTTCAAGTTTTGGAAATTGTTCAAAGACAGTCTCTCCACGGTGAGTGCTTTTGGGAATGTGCATGCATCTAGTGGTCCCAGTTGGAAACCATGTATCTAGACTTATCTCTTTGTTTTATCATTGAAGAAAACAAGGCCCAGACAGGGTAAGTAAAATTTCCAAAGTCACCAAGTGAGTTAGTGTGTAAAAGGAGGATTAAATAATGGAACACACATATCACCTGGACCCACTAACCACTCCAAGGTGAAGTTGACTGGTACATTTTGTAGCCAGTTCTGCAACTTATGGAAGTTCAAAGATTGTTCTGCCATTTTAAATTCTGAGCCTTTGTTCTCATGATCCAGCTCCTATTTCCTTGGAGTGTTAATGCCTGCTTCTCCCTAAATCACCCCAGGCGTAAAGCTAGTCCTCATGTTCCACAATTAAATCCACTCCTGTAAGTGTTTTGAGGGGTCAACATGCTATAGAGTGGGTAGCTTCTGCTCTCAAGCCAATTCTCTTTCCTCTTTCTTTACATCTTTGATATCATCCCCTTCCTTCCAGATGGTGCCTTCCTGAAACTTTTGATCTGATTTCTGTCAGTGGCTAGGTAGGGTAACCACATTATCATCACAGATTTTGGGAGCTTCTCTCACTGGTCCCACCCTCCTCACCTCAGCAGCTGGGACCACAAACAGAGATTCTCATTCTTCATTGCTATCTAAATTCTGGTGTGAGGAGAAGAGGAACATGGGAGATGAGGTGGTTGATCTTCTTACAGAATAAAGGCTTGTTGCCAAAAATCAATCAATCAGTCAATCAATCCCTATCTAAACCTCATTTCTATATTTCCAACCCAAAACACATATGTACCTTCACACCTGACATTATATTTGACCCTTATATCATGTCTGGTCTATTAGTCAGCTCAGGCTGCCATAACAAAATACCATAAATTGCATGGCTTAAACAAAAGAAATTTATTTCTCATAGTTCTGGAGGCTGGAAGTCCAAGATCAAGGTGCCAACATGGTAGGTTTCAGTCTGAGGCCTCTTCTCTTGGCTTGTAGCAACTGCCATCTTTCTGTGTGTGCTCAATAAGATCTTTTTATTATGCACATGTGGAAAGAGAGAGAGAGAGCGCAAGAGCTCTTTGGTGTCTCTTCTTATAAAGGCACTAATCCTATCATGATGGCCCCACCCTCATGACGTCATCCAACCCAAATTACCTCCCAAAGGCCCCATCTCCAAATATCATCACAGTGAGGGTTAGGACTTCAACATATGCATTTTGAGGAAACACAAACATTCAGTAGATAACACCTGGGAAAGAAGTTTTTGCTAGTTTTCCAGATGTGAAACTGAGGCTCATAGAGGTAAATATATTAGAATGAGTCCATAGGGGAGAGAACTGGAGGAGGGTAGTGTCCATGATGATGGCCTCTCCATGCACCCTGATACTTACCCAACTCATCTCCTTATCCCCACCAACCCAGGAGCCTGATGTGCCATTCCAGCACAGAGCTATTTTTTCTAAATTCTTAGAAGGGTGTAGTAGTTTAAAAACATGTCCACAAATTCTTTGAGATACCTCCTTTCAAAAGGTGGAATCTAATTTGTTTCCCTTTCAATATGGGCTATACTTGCCAACTCACTTCTAACAAATAGAATGTGCCAGGAGTGTGGTGTGAGATTTCTGAGATTAGGTTGAAAAGACACCGTGACTTCCTCCTTGCTCTCTCTCAGATCATTGGCTCTGGGGAAGACAGCCACTGTGTGGTGAAGACGTTCAAGAAGCCCTACAGAAAGGCCCATGTAGCAAGGAACCAAGGCCACCTGCCAATGGCCATGTTAGTGTGCCATCTTGGATGTGATTTGTCCAACCCCAGCCAAGCTTCAGATAACTGCAGCCCTGGCTGTCATTTTGCCTGCAACCTCCTCAGAGACCCTGAACCAGGACCCCTACTTGCTACTCTCAGATTCCCGGCCTACACAAAAAGATAAAAAAAAATGTGTTTTGCTTTAAGCTGCTAAATTTTGGAGACATCAATAGATAATTAATACAAAGGGAGAGGCATTTTATACTTTTCTCAGTTCTCCAGTCTCTATATAACCCATATAGCCAGGCCATGCCAACATGTCCGAGCATCTGTTTCCTCTTACAGAAGATTGCAATAATAATCCCACATGCATGCCCGATACATACATAACTAGCACCAACTGGCTCAAAATAAGTGCTCGATGAATTGTGACTGTTGTCAACATCTCATCAGCTGTGTGGCTTCTCTAGGTGAGTTGCTGTGTCTTGGTTTCAGATGCCCACTTCCCTCACATGAGGTGCCAACCTCAACCTTAAGTTAGTGCGCACTGCCTAGCAGAGAGCCCTAGCTGCCTAAACCTCACGGCTTCTCCAGTTCAGTATAGACAGACGGCCTTGGCGTAGAGCCTCACTCCTCTCTCTTGGTTTTCTGCTAGCCTTCATTCTTAACCTTAACCTTTCATCTCAGAATTTCAGCTTTGATGCTTCCCACTTCCTTCCTATGGTTACTTTAACTGAAGTGAGTCAGGTCTTACAGAAAAACTGCCCACAGCCAGTTAGCCCCCATCCTCCCCCGGACCAGGGCTGCCTGGGCAGACTGTGAGGGTGATCAGTGTTTACTCAGACCATTGTTTCCCTCTCTCTTCTTCAAGTCACGGGGCTTTGAATAGGGCTTCCCCAGCCACCGTGCCCCTCCCAACAGACCGCAGTCAGAAGCCAATCTCACATTAGTCTGGTGGTTGAAGGAGGGAACAGAAGGGACGGCAGTGCCTTGAATCCTTGGGTATTCTATCAAGTGGGCTGATCTGCTTATATTCTACTCTGTTGGGTGGGCCTCTGATCTTAACTCAAGGAGGACTTCGTAGGTTGTGCATACCAATAACAACCAAACGTGTATAGGGACCATCTCTCAGTGCCAGCAGCCATGTTACCTCTTTGTCTGAATTTTCACAACAACCCAAGTAGATTAGTATTCACCCAGACCTTTGGGGCTTGAAGAAGCAAAACCAAGCAGAACAGAACAAAGCAAGTAAGCAAACAAACAAAAAACCCAAAACAAAACAAAACCCCTAGAAAACAAAGACAAAAAACACTGAAAAAGTCATCTGCCTATCTTTCTAATTTTGGTATCTATAGAATGTCGTCCTTAGTCTTGAAAATCAGCATGATCTTTAAGAGTTTAAGGATAATTTCTTAAAGGACTGAGTTTATGGGAAGACAATGGTAGTTTTTGCTATTGGATTTTGAAGGGAAATAGTTTTTTCCTCTGATCAGATTTGGAACTTACCTCCTCTTTGGGAAAGGGTAGCTGACTTGCTTTCTCTGGAATGCAGAATTCATTTATCTATTCTCGTCTATCTTGGAAATGTTGAGGGAATCATTTTATTTTATCTTATTTTATTTTATTTTATTATTTTATTTTATTAAAGATTTTATTTATTTATTTGTCAGAGAGAGAGAGATTGAGATAGAGAGAGCATGAGTGGGGGGAGAGGCAGTGGAAGAAGCAGTCTCCATGCTGAGCAAAGAGCCCGATGTGGGACTCAAGCCCCAGACCCTGGGGACATGACCTGAGCTGAAGGCAGACGCTTAACTGACTGAGCCACCCAGGTGTCCCTGAGGGAATAATTTTAGTCAAACAGAAAGTCAACTGACACCATAACATGATTTTAATGATTCATTTATTTATTAAAAATTAAAATCTGCTATGAAAACAGACAAACAATGTAACATTCCCAGAGGAATTGAATTGCTTCTAGTTAAAACTAAGTTCTATTAGAACCAACTTTTGGTTGTTATAAATAACAAGCAGGCCACAGCTTTCAAGAATGAAGTGGTTGGGGAATGAGGTCAAGGGAATTCCTCTGAGCCACTGGAATACAAAGTATCAAAGGAGCTCCCTAGTTTCTCTTCCTAAGAGGGTTAAGAGTCTTTTTAACACTCTAGGAGCACCAGGCCCAGGGACAAGAGAAATTATAGGGAGGTCAGGGAAATAGCTCAACAGCTATCCAGTATGGTCAGGCTTGGAATGGAAGCTTCAGTACTCCCTGCCAAGAAACATTTTTTTCCTTATATAACTTACAATTTATCTTAAAATACTCAAATACCACAGGGTATCACCCTATGAAAACAGCTTACACACAGGTGAAAAAAATAAATATTGAAAAAGATTATAATATTGGGCTTCTTTCTAAATAGTTCACAGAGAAGCTCAGTAAATAAATACAAATAGGAGTTGAGGTATCAGAGGTAATAAATATTCTAAGAGAGAGGTACAGCAGGGTTCTCCACGGAGTTGTTCAGCTCTCCTCCATCCCTGGATGGGATTTTGCAGATCTCCAATTTATGTCCTAGAGTTGAGAAGAGTTGCCATCCTGGATGTTTTGTTCCCCAGCCTGTTTCATATTTTCATCTTCATTGTCATGTAGGTTTCTATGTAGTTGATGAAGATGTCAAACTCACTCATGGCTTTGTAGACACCTCTCTCTTGGAGCTGTGTAGGGAGATAAGAAATGTTTAGTGAAAGCCCCATCTAAGTGAGTAAATGGGTCCCTGGCTTGGATGGGTATGACTCTGAGGCTCAGGTGCCATACTTGCTCTCGTAAGTCAGGAGGTGAAGGATAGGCTCTAGGAAGCTGAGGGTATGCCCAGTGCCTTGGGAAAGGCTATGCATTCATCTAAGGCATGGCTAGCAAGTAACAAGAGGAACATACGCTTTTTTAAAGCACAGTCTACAAAATGATGCCTTAACAATTTTAAAGGTCATGTGCTCACATGATGCTTATTCAGAATTTGGAGAGAAGATGTTAGAGGAACAGCTTTGAAAGCAAGTTGGTAAGAGGAGCAAAGGGAGCCCTTTTATGTGGATGCCCTCCCACCAATGGATGGAACAGGCCCTGCCCTGCTCCTCGGGCCTACTGTCAGGGGGTTTATGGCTCCTGACATTGGAACCCTGCCCAGTGTCTGTCTGCATCCCACGAAGAGGACAGAGACCGCATGGCTTCTGGGAGATGGGGTCGAGTAGTTCACGGGCAGTTGGAAGCCTGAGACCCCACTGGATCTGAGAGCTGATATTCGGAGGCACTTGGCAGGTGTGAATGGCAGCTAGAAAGTGAGTATGGACCAACTCTAGATTAATGAGAATTCTGCTTCCTGCTCAGAGTTCTGGGGAGTTCCGGCTGAACCCCTGGGTGTGTTTGTGTGTGCGCATTCACGTGTTGGCTTCCTGCACGTGTGGCTTTAGTCTAGATTCCCAAGAAGCTACTTTCTGTTTCCTTCGTCACTCTCCCCAGCATCTAGCTCACTGCGTTCACAGGTTGGCTGACTGGCTCAACCCACAGGCCTGCAAAGGCGGGGAACAGTCATTTAGAAACCCCCAAAGACACTTCACAGAAAACAAATATAAGCGAGGCAGCAACTCCTCACTGGCTGAGGAGGTCACACCATCTGTTGGGTTCCCACACCCCCTTCAAGAGGAGGACGGGGCCTGCTTAGCACCTGCCAACTTGGGGAGTGGGTAGAGGTCATGGTCCCCGAGCCCCTTCTGCCACCATCCACTTACCTTACTAAAGGCACTCTTCACCTGCTCCACCGCCTTGCTCTTATTCTCACAGGGCAGAAAGCGATGCTGTGGAGGAAAAGAGAAAGTGTTAACGCCATGGGCTCCCAGCTCCTGTGTCCACAGCACGTGGGGGCCCAGCCAGTAGCATGAAGAAGGGGCCAGACTCATCTTGGATACCTAAGCCCCGTAGCTCCTTCGGGAGAACTGAGCCCCACCTCACCCTTGCCCACTAGACAGAGACAAAACAGCCCAGGGAAATGAAAAGTGCTTCTCTAGGAGCCACTCTGAGGCGTTTGCAAAGCTTGCGTGGAAACCCAGGAGCGAGAGCTTGGAGCTTCCTCTCTGAACGCCACAGTGCTGACAAGTGCTGAGCCGGCCATTCTGTCCTTCCCTGCTTCCCTATCCTGTCCGTCTTCTTCAGGTCCAGCCACAGGGACCATTTCTAAGTCCCCGAGGAGTAGAGATGCAGTCTCAGGCATGCAGACCAAAACATTTGCAGAGTCCCATTCTACGAACAGAGACCAACTGACTGATGCCCCGAGGAAACCAGTGGCGAGGGGATCATTTCAGTTAGAGAAGTTTTTTCTCCTGGGGAATTGTTTAGAGACACTAGCCTGGGGGCGAGTAGCTCCCTGGCTCTTCTAAAATGCCAAGGAAAGTCCTGTCAGTCAGTTGGGCCCCACTTAAGAGCTCTGCTTTCAAAAGGTAGAGAATGAGAGGTAAGTGGAGTTTCTTCTCCCAGGGACTCTGCCTCCTGGCCCGTTTGGCTGGGCCTGGGGTCAAGGTCCAAAGGGACAAGAGAGCCCAGACTGAAGCTCTGGACCCCTTTCATAAAGAGAGAGGGGAGTAGTTAATAACCCACAAATGACTCACAAATAACAGGAAAGCTGTTTGCAAACATGTAAATGCCTAGCAGCCTCCCCCACTCCTTGCTCAGAGAGAAATGAGCAAGAGATGGAACTCTAGTGCCTTTAGGAGAGTGCTCCTGCCAGTCTGTCTCTGCGTCTGAGTGTGAGCGGGGTTTCAGGAAGAGCCCGAGAGCCACAAGGGAAAGAACTGAGCCCGAGAGCCACAAGGGAAAGAACTCAGCCCGAGAGCCACAAGGGAAAGAACTCGGCCGCACTCACACAACGCCGCAGCCTCAGCCTGAGGGTCTTCAGCTTTTCCCCCAGGGAGTTCACGTGTTCCTTGATGTTTGGGTCGTGGTTCTCAGCCTGGGGCATCACCTCCTCCAGGTAGAATTGGATCATCTCTGACAAGGCTTGGCAACCCAGGTAACCCTAAGGGCAGGAGCCAGGGTTGGGGGGACGGTGACTGGGAGGAAGAGCTGCTGCCCTAGCTTGAGAGGACAGCTTTGTCCCCAGGGACCTTTCTTAACCAGCCACCTCTCTCTCCCCACCCCCCAGGACAGCCCTTTGGCTGTGTGTTGAGTTAAGATATTTCCACTTCTCCTTTTCAAAGCAAAGGAAGCAGACCCTGCTCCCGGAGGCCTCCCTTCTCTGAGTCACGCTGCACCCTCTCCTCCCACACACCTCCTCAGGCTCTCACCTTAAAGTCCTCCAGCAAGGACCCAGTCAACAACATGTTGTCCAGCTTGTCCTTCGTTTGCTGCAAGAAGGACAAAGGGAGAATGAACCTGACCTTTGAGGAAATGTCTCTCTGATGCCCTCTTATTTATAGAGCTTCTAATTTTTAATCAGTGCAGCCTGGCCCCAAAACGGAAAGGAAAATTTCAAAACAGAACATTCGGCAGTGCTGGAACCCTTAGTTCAATCAGGTCCTTTTCCTCAGGATCAAGTTATTTTAAAAATTCTGCCAGGTTTTGAAGTCATGGCAGATGCTTGACTCGGTCCTGGTCTCCTTTCTGCAGAGCTGAATCAGGGTCGAAGGGTCCACCCTTGCCCACCCACACTTCGGGGCTCCTTGCTTGTCTTTCTCCCCACTGTGGACATCCAGTTGCAGCTTTGAAAGCTGTTTGGAGATGGGAAGCATCTCCTAAAGCAGGCTTCCCCCACGCCTCTTCCCCGCACGGCGCTTTCCCCAACCAGCAGGTTTCTAGGTTCTTTATGTTTTCCTGCCACAAGGGATGGGGAACAACACATCTTCATCTTCAGTCAGACCCTTTGTGATTTCCCCCAGCCAACTGAGCTCCAGTGGAATCTTTATAAAAAGTTTCTAAGCATAGGAGTCCTAGTGCATTGACCTGTTAGGTGGCTTTTTCTGCACCTTCGCTGCATCACTGGGCTTAGCTGAACTCACTGAGCCTCTGGCTTGACCTGGGACGCTTAAAGAATTTCAGTTTGAAGGAAAGGGATGCTAGGGGTGGAAGTGAACAAGAGGGAGGATTCTTAGAGCTCTAGCAGAATGCCTGGTGGAGGCAGTCCCAGCAAGGAAGGAAGGACAGGAAGGCATACTCACAAAAAAAGTCTTCACCCTGCCGAAGGCAGCTCGGAGCTCTCGGAGCATGTGGGGCAGGCTGGCTGGGAAGTGGGTGCAGTTGTCCTCAGACAGGGCGCTCTGGTGTCGGCTGGCTCCTACCCCGGCCAGGAGGACCAGGCAACACAGCAGCGCTGGGCTGGGCATGCTGAAGCTCTGCCTTCTGAGAGCCTGCCTTGTGGTTTGGTGTTGCAAGAGCAAGCCCCTGATGTGTAGACCTTCACCTACTGTGTCCCCCTTTTATATTGTGGGTGCGGTGAGGCCACCCCATTCATAAAAAGCCACAGAGTCAGATTTCCTGGCAAACGTTTTCTTCTGATTAACGCCCCTCCTTCCCTAGACCTCTCCAACTTTGCATTCGTTGAACTTCTTAAAGTTGTTAATTTTTTGCATTGTAAGCGAAAGGGATTGTTGAACAATGAACTTTTGCATTACAGCTATTTTAGGAAGAGCTACCTCTCTCTCTGTTTTAAAATAACTTTCCAGCTTTTCTTAATAAAAAAAAAAGTTGATTTCCTGGGGTGAACAGCTGTTCTGTGCACAGAGGCCCACAGTTGTGGGTTCCATTCGCGTGTTCCTAGGTCATAGTGACGTGGACAAATTGACCGTTCCAGAATGTTCTGGAGTTGAGAAATAATTGGATCCCCTCCCCAACCTGGGTTACATACCCAAGGCTTTTCCTTGCTGAATTGGGAAGAGCCTCAGTTTCCCCAAGTGAGAACCAGGGTGAGCTAAAAATCCTCAAAGATCCCTCTGGTTCTTTCATTTTATGTTCCAGGATGTCCTCTTGCAGAAGCCAGCTTCCCACAGGACAAGCAGGGCCATAGGATGTACTCCAGGCTCCTTCTCTAGCCCTGAGTTCATTTCAACTCTCAGATCCATGTCATTACCTCCTCGGCTGTCCCAGTACTTGGGGGAAGTTAGTAAGAGTAATCCACACCTACTGATAGCTTGGCATCTGCCAGTCACTGTGACCCTTATCATCTCCATTTTATAGCGAGTAAACTGAGGCACAGAGATGTTAAGTAACCTGCACAAGGTTACATGGGCACTAAGTGAGAGAGTCAGACTTTGCACCCAGGCCTACCTGACACCAAGGCCATGCTCCTTACTCTATTACTCTATGCTGTGCCCAGTGTGTGGAATGATAAGGTTGGATTGAAGAGTCCTTATGGTTTCTTTTAGTTGTGAGCTTCTATGGTTGGACACTTAAACTTGAAAGGTGGGAGGTGGGGGAAATAGAAATAACAAGAAAATTATGTCAGGATTCCAAGAAGGCTGGACAGCAGACCCCTTTCTTTTCTCTTACCTGCCCCTTCCCCCTTCCAAAGAAGTCTTAGCCATTTGTCTTGGACTTGCACAAGTGGATGTGTGTGTGTTTGAGGGTGGGCAAGTAGGGGAGCCAGATGTAGTGAGGAAGGTTGCTCCACCTCCAATAAGGCCAGTCTGGAATGAGTCTGAGGGGAAAGAAATGACAGGGCCCAGCCCCAACTTGTGGATGTACCTTGTGGGTCAGGATCAGGGAGCTGTGGCCTCCCCTTCCAATAATTTGGGGAGTGTCAATGCAAAAACCTAAGAATCATGAAGGGAGAAAAGAACATTTTCGAAACAAGAGTGGAGATAAGGCAGAAATTTTTGCTCCTGCTGATTCACACTGGGCTTCAGAGGACTGAATTTTGCTGCCAGGAAGCAGAGAAAAGAGCCAAGGAGCTGAGTTTTCACCCCTTGTACCCTTCTCCTTTCCTCTTGTCTCCTGGGTTTCCTGAGCTGTGCCTGCTTTAGTTCATAGAGTTGACCGCCTTTCTGAGTTGGGTGTTCTGGGTGTAGACTCTGCATGGAGGAGTCAGGCCAGGTAAAGCTCTGAGGCCCTTCTCCCTGACCCAGGCAGCACAGACCCCTCCTATCTTTCTCTGCCACCATGCCCTGTACTTGCCTCCAGTACTAAACCCACAATCTGACATTGTTGTCATCTAGGTGCACACCTTGCCTCCCCCAGTCAGCTGTGAGCCCCCTGAAGTAGGATGTTATTTTATTATCCTTTGTGTACCTGGTGCCAAGCACAGGGTCTGGTCCATGGAAGAAGGTGCCAGCTATGCAGCTTTCTCTTTTCTATGTTGGGATGGGCATAGCAGAGTACATGATGAGCGTGTACCAGGGCTGGAGGAAATAACCTGAAGGAGGCTGGTCTGAGCACAGGCAAGCACTCAGAAGGATAGGGAAGCACCTCAGGGAGGCAGGCTAGCATTTTTACAATTTCTTCTTATAATGTGAAATATATGTGCAAATGCACACATGCACATACACATGAGCAAGATGGCAGGGGGAAGGGAAGTGGGCAAAAGGCATTTCTTTCTTTAATCCATAAGCCATTAGGTAGGGTTAGGTATGGGCTCTGACTTCTTTGTTTTGGAACGTGAAGCCAATGACCTCAAGCCATTTGTTGAATAACTGATTTTCCCCCCACGGATTTGAAATCACTGTCTTCTCTCATCTCAAAATTTCAGAATCTAAAGGATCAAAGATAACCATAGCAAATTTCTGATGCACCCCCTTAAGTAACAAATGGAGATACCAGTATCTTTCCTATCAACATACAGGATTGACATCAAGATGATAGAAGAAAATAGGGATGACCGTCTTGGGAAAAGCTAAGAGCCTCTGCTATTATATTGACAAAACAACAAGAATAAGAAAAATAGGCATCATTCTATTTCTCAAGTTCATTTGAAAAGTCATTACAATCCATTGGGAAAAGTCCTAAACCCATAGTCACATCTGAGACATAAATGTCAAAGTCTGCACGTTATAGGAAGTTTGAGTTTGGGTTTTAGTACAAGGGAAGAGCCCTTGTAGGGGAGGAAGTGAGAGAGTGGGCATCTATGGATGATGGACTGTCATTCTGGGCACCATTTGGTTCTGTGGATTTCAAGAGACTCAAATGCCACTGATCACTGTGAGCTCCATGAGGGCAAATGGCCTGGGTCCAATATTCCCTTAAGTTCAGATGCATAGCAGGGTCTAAAAAATGATCATTAAATTGAATCTAAATGACTTTTTCCAGTAAGGACTCTCTGGGGAATCAGAGGAAGGTTGTGGGAGAGGAAATATCTCCCCCTTTCCACCCCTGCTCCAGAATATTCCCAAATTTCTATATTCAGCTGCAAATGAAAGAAAATCTGATTAATCATGGCTTAAAAAAGGAAGGATATTATATTTTTTGGTCTCACTTAAGCCTGAGGCTCATGTCATGTACAGCACTCATGTCCTCTAGAGCCTGCTTTTTCTTGCCTTCCTGTTCTCCTCTCTATTGTTGCAAGATTCCAGGGAGAAGGGACGTGGGTAAAGTCCAAAGGCATGTCAACCCAGGAGATCCTAAAAATCTTTCCAGAAAGCTCCCTCTGTGAGTTTCACTACTTTAGCTGCAGAGGGGTCCAGGACTGCCAGTGTGTGTGTGTGTGTGTGTGTGTGTTCTGCACATGCGTGAGCACTGTGTAAATACATTTTGAGGGTCCCATCTAAGGGCACAAGAACTTATAAGGAATCTTCTTCCACCTACCCTTGTGCTCAGCAAAATGGCAGCCTCCTGGCGTCATTGTTCTGCACCTGGCCGAAGTTCTACAGTTCAGACCCAAGAGTGCAGAAGAGCCCTGTGGGGCTCCACTGGAGCCACAAATGGAAAGCTAAGGAATGGGGGCTTGCTGGGCTCAGGGTTCAACTAGCTTGCCTGGCAACAAGGGCCACTCAGGAGGGAACAGGCAGAGAAGGTGGGATGGTGCCCACCTGGGACAGACAAATGACATCCTGATGGAGAATCCCCTTGGGCCTTGGCTTCCACTCACCCATTAGTTGTTATTATTTTAGGGCTGATAACGGGTGTTTCATTTCTTCTTACTTGGGACATCTAGTATGTCCAATGGTTTCCCCAGCTTGAAATTTCTAGTATTCCCTTGAATAACCTTCCTTAGCATCCTGGACAGAAGCTTCCTCAGCTGCTTTGCTGCAACAGGCCTGGGCAACAGCACAGAGGCTGACAGCACAACCCCAAGTGTGGCTGGGTGGGGGCCTTGGGGCACAGGGCTCTGTGGCTCCGTCCGCCTCTGGGCTTCTCTGACTTTGGCCTTGTGGCTGCACTGCTTCAGAATATGGGCCAGGTGGCTCAGAAGTTTCAAAGAACCCAAGTAGGGGCCACCCCTAGGGCAAATCAAGCAAGAGTTATGCAAACTGGATTGGGTGCCTGTCCTAGGATCGTGGCTGGCAGACATTGCAAACCACAGCGGAAGGGCTGATCTTTGGACAGCCAACGTGGAATTCCCCTTTGTGCAACTGGGGCACCAAATCAAGCAATTTGGATTTTCCTTAGGGGACAGACACTGTGATCTGTGACTTCTCACATGAGAAATTTGGTATACAGGGGCCAGGACACACCAGGTGTTGGAGCCTTTGCCACCCAGAGGACACAGCAGTTTCTGCTCTGCCTGCATGACTACCTAGAATAACTAGTGTAGTTAATAGAGTATTAGCGTAGTTATTTTCAGTACTAGTGTGGAATAGCTGTGCAATTGCACAGGGTCCCATACTTAGAAGGGCTCTTGCTCAGCTGTTCCTGCCTTGAGATTCTTAGTAATTGTTGAACAAGTGGCCCCACAGTTTCATTTTGCACTGGCCCCCAATTTATATAGTTAGTTCTGTAGAGGAGGCTGAAGTCATCTCCATTCTCTGGTCTCACCTTCACCTAGTGTTCCCTAATGCAGTACATGCATGACCATCTAACCCAACATACAAGACAGAAACCTAAAAGTAACTTGCTGTTCCTCCCTCTTCCTTGCCAACCGTGACCAATCTAATACCAGGTGCTCCCAATTTTCTTCTTCTTCTTCTCCTTCTTCTCCTTCTTCTCCTTCTTCTTCTCCTTCTCCTTCTCCTTCTCCTTCTCCTTCTTCTTCTCCTTCTTCTTCTCCTTCTTCTTCTTCTTCTTCTTCTTCTTCTTCTTCTTCTTCTTCTTCTTCTTCTTCTTCTTCTTCTTCTTCTTCTTCTTTTTGAGATTGTATTTATTTGAGAGAGTGAGTGAGAGAGAGCACAAGCAGGGGGAGGATCAGAAGGAGAGGGAGAAACAGAGGAAGGGGGAGAAGCAGACTCTCCCTGGGCAGGGATCCCAACACAGGGCTCGATCCCGGGCTCAGTCCTGGGACTTCAGGATCATGACCTGAGCCAAAAGCAGACGCTTAACCGACTGAGCCATCCAGGCGTCCCCTGAGTGCTCCTGATTTTTCTTCACAAACATCTTCCT